ATATATATATATATATATATATACCAAACGGTTGACCATGTTTTTACTGTTTTAAATGATGACTGATAAAGTCATTTAAAAGAATATTGGCTTACACATTGTTGGTTTACAAAAACAATCAAACAAACATAATCCTGTTGCACTACTACACTTGATTTTGTTTTTTGAAAAAAAAAAAACATGATAAAAATGAGAATAAGAATCTGAAATATTTTATGGCAACTTAAAAAAATAAGATTTAGAGTTTCAAAATATTTTGTTTTAAAACATTTTTTATTTTTATAAATTGGTCTTACACTTTATATTTTCTGATTTTTCATATTATATGTAATAATTCCGGTACTTTTACCATAAACCAACATATCAACCATTTGGTAGAGGCTGATGTTTTAGAAATTATGGGATGTGTTGAAAAACACATAAGTGTTGAGTGTGTTAACTAGCAACATTAGAAGTTAAGAAATGCAATTCAAACATTTTTTTTTAATTATTAGAAAATTATTTATGTAATGCCAAAAAGATGTCCATAGCTGCCAAAAATCATCAGTCTTTTTATGTATGTTATAGGTGAGTTTCTCGAGTGGAAATAGCGTACACACTTGAGACAACCACAATTTAAAGGAGGGTACCTGAGATGACCACAATAAAAGTATCAATTTCTTTGCCAGATAAACCATGATTAAAAACAAACGCTTGGTGTGGAAATCTAACACATTCTCTACTCCACCATATAACAAATACAATTCCAGAGAAAAGCACAATTTATCTTAAAGAGTCCTTGTAGAAAAGTACCTTATTTATCAGGGGTCGAAGCGGAATGAACCACCAACTTATCCAGCATATGTTTTACACTGTGGACACCCCAGTACTGGGAAACTCTCACATTCACACACTATGGTCAATTTAGTTCATTCAATTTACTCATAGTGCATGTCTTTGGATGAAGAAAACCCACACAAACACAGAGAGAACATGCAAATGCCACACAGAAACACCAACTGGGCCAGTCAGAATTTAAACCAGCAACCTTCTTGCTGTGAAGCGACAGTGCTAACTACTGAGCCACCATGCTTCCCCAGCCTTATAACTGTGTTAATGAAATATGGAAGCGTAGTCTTCATAGGTTTAAAATCTGCTTGATGATTGTCTTGGACGTCTTGCTCATGGCCTGAATTTCGCTCTACATTCTGCAGCCTAATTCCATAATTTAGGTGGCATGCTTTAGCCCTGGGCAGTGAATACTGTGTAGTGCTCTTGCTCAGAGGGGTGATTTGGAGTGGGAGAAAGGGGGCAGTGATTTAGGGAAGTGAATTGAGAATTTAGATAGATAATGGCTGGCTGAGTTTGAATAGGGGCAAATGGGGAGGGGTGAATGGGTATCCACCATTGATCCGCTCTTCACTCCCAGGCCTATCTTTTGGTTTCAGGTGGCCACGTCAAGCATTCTTCAAATACATGACATCATCAACTGACCATGGCTTGTTATGAGATCAGCCGTATCTCCTCTTTAGCTACATGTTGCACACATACACTGTTGTAAACTATTACATTTTTGCTTGTTGCATTTGAAGACACAAGAAGCTTATTTGGGGCAGCAAGCAAACAACACATTAGCAGCCTCATTGCAACGGCTTAACGATCACCTATTCTAGTGACTCTTGCAGAGAAACTTACACTAGGCAGTGCTTAATAAGGTAAACAATTCTAGTGACACAGTAAAAGAGCTTTGTTTAATGTTAACATGGTGGTGGTTTAAACTTTGCTCCAACACGTTCAAAAAAATGTCCTTCGTAAGCATCGATTTCTGTGTTTCTCATACTCTGGTCTTGCAAAGTTTCTATCTATAGCCTGCTGTTATGATTGCCACGCAACTACTTTAGCCTGTAATTTAACCTGTAGCTGCAATCATTCTCAGAAGGATATCTACTTCAGGGTAGTCTATGAAGGTGTTATTAAAATGTATGTTTATTTGATGATAGTAAATTATTTCTTAATTCATAAATACACATCAATATTTTCTAGTTATTGTTTAGTTACATGTACTCCACAGTCCTACCAATAAAAAAAAATCAACACCAAATCAATAACCTGTTTCTGTTTATTTAAATTATACTGTGTATCATGGTAGCATTAATCATAATTTATTAAAACATCCACAAAATTAGGTTCTAAACTAAAATGTATAATGATGTAAAAAAACAGACTGAACCTTTTTTATCATATTTTAAAAATCTGAAAGAACTCCTATGCTGTTAAATAATCTGTATACAGTGCTCAGCGTAATTGAGAACACAACAATTTGAAAATGTACATTATTATCAATTTCTCAGTGAATAGGCAATGTAAACAGATAATGTATATCTGATTAAACATATATATTTATTAAAATAATATTTCAGTCACCAAACAGATTGAGAAATTGAAAGAATACAATTCTTTTTTTTTTTTTTGCTTCTCTTGATTTTTGCTCTTTTTTAAATTTGTCTTTATTATTTTTCTATAACATAAATTTGGCTGTACTAGTTTTTGGAAGTTATTTTGTTAAATAAGCTCAAGATTTGGCTTCAGTACTCACTAATCTAATATATATGCACAAATATAATATTGTATAGCTTCCTATTAAAATATTAATTTAAAAGATGGTTTTGTGAGGGGTGTACTTATATATGCTGAACATTGTATCTCTTTGTATCCAGTTCATGATGTATTTTGTCTTTAATGTATTTTGTCGCACAATTTTTTATTTATTTTTTTCTTCCCTTGTTATTTGTAATAATTTTTTCTTTCTTTCTTTCATTATTACTGTTACGTCACTACATGCATGACTCCCGATTGTTTTGTTATAGCACTTGACCATAATTATTGTGTTAAGCTGCCTTGTGGTGTTCAGGTCTTGGGATAGGAATTGGGTTAAAAAAATAGAAAGAAGGAAACTGTAATGTTAATTGTTGTATTGTATAAAACTTTATATTCCTTTTATAAAAAAAACAGACTAATTAAATGTTTTTTTATCAAAATGCTAATTAAATTTTTTTTTTATTTTAATTTATTAAGTTTTTATTTATACATGCATTTTGGTGAAACTATTACATTTAAGCGATTTTTATATGCACAGAAAGGATAATAAATGCATTCCAAACAACTTTCGTGAAAACAAAATGGCAAGTTATGGTTGAAATAATGTTTAATTATTATTATATATTAGATCGCCTCACAGCAAGAAGGTCGCTGGTTCGAGTCCCGTCTGAATTTAGCTGGCGTTTCTATGTGGAGTTTGCATATTGGTGTGGGTTTTCTCTGGGTGGGTTTCCCCCACTGTCCAATGTAATGTAATGTAATGTTATATAGCGCATTTATTGTGTATAGCCATACACCCAAAGCGCTTTACAATCATGAGGGGGGGGCCTCTCCACACCACCACCAGTGTGCAGCATCCACTTGGATGATGCGACGGCAGCCACAGGACAACGGCGCCAGTGCGCTCACCACACACCAGATATTGGTGGAGTGGAGAGACAGTGATAGAGCCAATTCGGTGGAAGGGGATGATTGGGAGGCCATGATCGTAAGGGCTGATAGAGGGATTTTGGCCAGGACACCGGGGTTACACCCCTGCTCTTTCACGAGAAGTGCCATGGGATTTTTAATGACCACAGAGAGTCAGGACCTCGGTTTAACGTCTCATCCGAAAGACGGAACCCACTGACAGTGTAGTGTCCCCTTCACTTTTACTGGGGCATTAGGACTCACACAGACCACAGGTTGAGCGCGCCCTGCTGGCCTCACTAACACCACTTCCAAAAGCAACCTAGTGTTCCCTAGTGGTCTCCCAGCCAGGTACTGACCAGGCTCAGCCCTGCTTAGCTTCAGTGAGTAACCAGTCTTGGGCTGCAGGGTGACATGGCTCCAAAGACATATGGTACAGGTGAATTGAATAAGTTAAATTGTTTGTAGTATATAAATGTGTGAATGAGTGTATGGGTGTTTCCCAGTAATGGGTAGCAGCTGGAAGGGCATCCTCTGCGTAAAAAATATACTGGATAAGTTGGCGGTTCATTCCGCTGTGGCGACCCCAGATTAATAAAGGGACTAAGCTGAAAAGACTTCTACACTTTTACACTTCTAAATCTATCTATCTATCTATCTATCTATCTATCTATCTATCTATCTATCTATCTATCTATCTATCTATCTATCTATCTATCTATCTATCTATCTATCTATCTATCTGTCTGTATGTCTGTATTTATCTGTCTATATCACTGTTCTATCTATCTATCTATCTATCTATCTATCTATCTATCTATCTATCTATCTATCTATCTATCTATCTATCTATCTATCTATCTATCTATCTATCTATCTATTTATCTATCTATCTATCTATCTATCTATCTATCTATCTATCTATCTATCTATCTATCTATCTATCTATCTATCTGTCTGTATGTCTGTATTTATCTGTCTATATCACTGTTCTATCTATCTATCTATCTATCTATCTATCTATCTATCTATCTATCTATCTATCTATCTATCTATCTATCTATCTATATTGTGTCAAGTACCTATGAAATATGAGTGTTTTAGCACATATTAGGAGAATATCAGACTCTCAATCCTAGTATTTGTCCAAATGATACATTTTCAACCAGATCAATATGACCCTGTCCCTGTTACCACTGTGTTGTTGTTGATGTTTTGAGGGTGAGGGGTGTAATTCTCATCTTTGGGTTTCACTGAAAGAGGCCAGTAAAAGCTCAAATCTTTGTCCCTCCCCTTCTCCTTCTCCCTTCCCCCTCTCCATTTGCAACGGGGCTCGTGCACAGTATTTAAGTGCATTTATACAGTTGACCAGACTGTAAAAAACAGAATTCATACACCACATGATATTGTTAACCCCTTTTCTCATCCCCTCTCAGTCCTCTTGCGAAAGCAGTGTCCCGATACTCCCTCCACGCTGGCCGGGTGTGAAGTGGCCACGCCGGGGATGGACGTCTTTTCATTTGCATGTGTTTTGTCCACACCCCTTACGAGATAACGACAGGACCAAGCCTACAGAGCATTGCCTACAGAGGGAGAAAGTGACACAGCTTGCAGTGTGTGTGTGTATGCAGAGAATTTGGGATACACCGCGTATTTACCGAGGAATTATTTTGCGCCAGAAACTTACTCGTGCCCTCCATCGCGTTCAAAGTATCAGATTCATTCAGCGCGCGGATTGAAAGACGCGGATTTGGATTTAAGCACCGATGATACCAACCCTGACAGACATGTATGTAGTTTCATTCCTCATTATTTACATCTTAACGACATTTCTGTGGTATATACACATTTGCTTTGAGAATATTACGTGCTTATTTAAGCCTCACGTTCACTTAAACATCTCACAAACCGAGCTATACAGTAACGTTATATAGTTACTAACGAGTCTGTGCCAATGTATTTTGAGCTACCAAGTATAGCCGTGTGGATAATTGTGGTCATTTTGCAAATGAATGTGCAGGGTAGTGTGATAGACTTTCTCATAACATGGCATGGAGGAGACTGGGAGTGAGCTCGGATGACAAAGAAAGCTTTGTTTGGCATATGTGTGTAAAAGATGTAACCTCGGATATTAATAGTTAGGAATTACATAGCGGAAAGACACCGTCAGCCACTTTGTGTTATTGCTTTGAAGCCTTTCTTTTCTCTTTTGCAGCACGTCCCTGCTCATAGTCACTCAGTTTCTTTAGAGAATATCCCATGAAGCTAATCCTGCACAACCTAATCCCTCAGATTTTTTTCCTCCCTCTCTCTCTTGTGCATGTTAGGGAATGCTGGCTCTAATAACCTACTTTTGTTACTTTGAAGTATATGTTTCTGGGATTTTTGGGGATTAGTAGTTTGACTGATATTTGTCAACAACTTTGAGCAATGCATACTGACACTGGCAGTTCTACTCAATGAGAAGAGGACACGCGAGTCCATTTTAGACGACTTAAAATTGTTGCTCTCAACCTTTTTTTGGTTTCAAAAGCTGTCAATGTCTATAAATATACATTTAAATATGTACGTTCCAGTGATATATCTAGTGCATTTAGTTTTTTAAGTGTTAAAAGTTTTTTTATTTAGAGATGCAGAATAGCTTAATGGAACACTGTCTGATTTTAAATCAGATGTTTAATTGTGAATGCTTATTTCATCCATTTTTACATTTATATAACAAGGTGTCTGTGGGGTCTTAAAATGTTAAACATTTCAAAAAAAAAATTTTTTTTTAAGCCTTAAAAAGCCTTAAATTTACTGAAATGTTGTGTTAAAGTTCTTAAATAATTTTATTCAGTTCTTAATTTTTCTCTGTCCAATTAAAGCTACCCAATCGGGCCGACATCCTTCTTAATATAATCAGAGAAAGAAAACTAAAAACAACACAATTCCTTATAATAATAACAGAACAATAAATCACTTTACGTTATCTTCCACTCTTTAAAAATTATTTACAGCAATTATCTATTTTTTGTGGCAAGTGAGGCATCGAAGACATGGTATCAGTTGCCGTTAACTATGCTACAATACATGGGAAAAACTGTTGAATCTTGTGTCACGATGTCCATTTGTCGTTTACGACTTTCCACGACACCCTTCGTCAAGGAAATCGCGCTGAAATCGTGTGATCTGACTGGGGCTTTATAACTAGCCAACTGAGGAAGCACACTTTGGTTCTGCCCAATTAGAAGCATTAATAGATGAATTAATATCAAAGAGAAACAGCGTTTGTAAAATAGGAATAGTTTGGTTTCAACGTCACAGACATCTAACAAATATAGGTAATTTTTAGGAGCTGTCACAGAATTTCTGACACGGCTTAAAGATTATTGAGCTGAAGCTTGAATTAAATCTTAAATCAATTCCCAATATCTGTCAAAAAAATCGCAATTAGATATTTTCCTGAAATCGCACAGCCCTAGTGGCAAGCAAAAAAAAAATCCATTGGCCCAACCGGTTGTTTTAGTCCTGTTTAGCCCATAAGTCTAAAATTTTATTCAAAATGGTCTTAAAAGTGTTTTAGAATTCTGATATTGTACGTTATACACTATGATGCCTTCACTTTTAATATTTACAATTAATAATAATAATAATAAATTGTATGTATTGTGCGCTTTTCTCAGACCCAAAGTGCTGCAAGGCCAACAATAGCAAAGCAGAACAATAAAAACAGTAAAAAGACTACAATAAAATATGAATGATTCAATACAATTGGATGGTTAAATTAACAAAAATAATCAATCTAAGTTAAAAGCAACGGTAAACAGATGAGTCTTGAGAAGTTTCTTGAAACAGTCTTGAGATGTAGCCTTAATGATGCTGATAGGTAGGCCATTTCATAGCTTAGGTGCACTACAAAGATTTTTAATTGTAGTATTTTATTTTATTTATACACATTTATCAGCTTGTTCTTAGCATGAAAATAATAACTAGTGTATAATTGTTTGGCAAAATCTTAATATCTATGTATCTTAAAGCAGGGCGATTTGGTCTAAAATCAAATTTTGATTAATTAACCATTTTAACTCGATTATGATTAATAAACGATTATTTTATTTATTTATTTATTCAATTTTTTTTGCCCTCATAGTTCACTGATAAGTTTTGTACAGTGCATTACTTGATTTAAAATAATTGAAGGAAACACACACTATCTACTATCTATGATTATTTATTGAACATCAACGTCCAACAATTGAAATTAAAACACACATTGCCTAAAATAAACAGTCCCTTTTTTCTTATAAATAAGTGAAAATAAATAACTCACACTTTTGGAAACAAAATGAATTATTTTCAGTGTTTTTCATATGAAAAGTGTCTCTTCTAAATAAAATAACTCTTTCATATCATGTAAAACATATTTTTAACAGTGCATTTCTTGCATCTACTGTAAACAAATGTTTTAATTGAATTATTAGTTTTGTTATGGAAAATATGCTATTTTAAGGCATCTCTGGCACAGCTCCCAAACACTGTCAATGTAGTGCAAAGTAAAACAGTAGTAACAAACAAGGCAGTCTCACATGACTCCATATGTCATGTGGACATAGGAAAAGTAATTAATTAATTAATTATGGGAAAAGTAATTAAAAAATCAACCTGGAAAAATTATATCGATTATTAGTTCTGAATTTTGATTTTGATCACTTTTTGATTAAGTGCCCACCCCTAGTGTATCTACATCGGAAGCAGCGCTTTTCAGTTTGTTTGCTGGTCCCTTAATGCACCCTGGCCTAATAAACTGTAACTTCATCGGCTTTCCTGTTCTCTGAGTTTTCATGACATGTGGAGACCAGAGCAGGCAAAGTGTCTTCATTCCTTTGACGTGGCTGTGTCGACTTCCAGTTGTAGTGCGCTGTGTTATTTATGAACTTGCACGTGAGATTTGCAGCAAATCTTGTGACTGTTAATTTAACCGTAAGGCTATGCGAGTGTACCAACAGCCTTACTTTCTGGTAAGAATGTGGGAACACTTTTTTTTTTTTTTTTGGAAAACTCAGAGCCTTGTAGGCAGCACCACGGGCCACACAATCTGTCCATTGTGTAGACCTAGACCGAGATGAAGGGGCCTAATTTAGCTAATGATTTGATCAAGCAAAGTGATGAAAGTGATAAAGCTAGTTTGTGTGTGCGGCCGGTCGTACTAGTGTAGTTGTTTTGTTGATGACTTAAAGAATACAATCATAGGGTGTGTTCACACTGTGGTTTGATTAAAATTTACTCTAGTTTTATTCTGAGTATGATCTGTGGGTGAGGTTTGTTTGAATAAGTGTTAATGGATGCATTTTGCACACCAAACAAGTGTACCAGGGATCTAAAGATTTAATCGATTTACACCATTTAATGATTTATGATATTGATTTAATGATGCAATTTTTTTTTTGCAGTTTCTTTCAACAAAAAAAGTTGAGACTAGGACTGCACGATACTGCTGTGATATGCGGTATTGATGTTGAGTATTGCGATAACGATATAACAAAAAAAGAAAAAAGATAATTTTTTACTTACATTTTTTATGATTTATTTATGCAGTTTTATTAAAATTAACAGGTTAAAGTTATTCGGATTCGGATTACTTTTAATTAGGAATAATAACAGTGTCAAGGTGCAGTCATTTAGGCTGAGTCCGAAATCACATGCTTTTGACCTTATTCTAAAATGCGGAAGTGCGGCTGTTTTTGCGATTGTTTAAAAACTTCTGATTCAGTTGCCTATGGGAGAAATGACTAGGAGTAATAAACGGCAGAAAACGGTCAAACTACTTGCTCTACAAACAAATTTTGACTTGACTTTACAGACCAAGTAGAATAATATAATAAGAAAATATCAGTTTGCAACATCAAACAGCAAAACCAGCAGTTTTTAATGTCTAAAAATGAATGGAAGTGAATGAGACCGAATGTCTCGAGCCAAAAAGACTCAAATGGCTGCGCCCGCTCGTCGGCAAAGAATAAGGTGAATATAGTACGCTTAAAACAGTGTGAAGCCGAGTAGTATGTCCAAGTTTATAGAATTCAGAAAACAGTATGTGAGTAATACCTGGACGACTTACTACTTTCTGAAGAACTCGATTCTGAAGTGCGCATACAATGCACGTTATGCTTGCCCAGGATACACTGTGAGAGAATTCATAAATGGGAGTGAAGCGATACAACTGACGTGGGTAGGTCATGTGATCATGACAAAAAAGGTAATATGTAGTATGTCTATTCATTCTGTTCAAATTGATACTGTATAGAACATACTTTTCTAACGGCCGAGTATACATTTACTTTCAAATGCAGTACCTACTGAGTAGTAGGCAATTTCAGATGCAGCCTTTGTCTTTAAAACACTATGAATGAGTAAAAACCAGATATGAGTAATAAAGCAGATATTCTGAGACTGATTGTTATTGTTTTTGTCTTAAGGCTTAAGATATTAATGCCCCATCTGATTGGGCAAATTTGGATAAACAACCAATGCATAAAATACATGTAATTTAACACACTTGTCTATAATATATAAACCATTATCATAATAATGATAAATTTGCATTATATTGTGCAGCCCAAGTTGGGACAATTTAGAAATTTAAAAGTGTCCTTTTATTACTTCTCAAATTCTGCGCCTTTTTGGATAAAGTAAAATGTTTTTTTTAAATAACTAAACTTTGTTAATTAAAAAAAATGGCAAATTCCAAATCATACAGAAATGGCTTAATTTGGTTCCTCAATATGCATTCTTCAGTGATCTTGCATCTTT